GCGAAAAATATACGACACATTTTTTTCATTCTAAGTGCGACACAAAAATTTACGACACATTTTTTAGGGGAGACTTGAGCCGCCCCTAGCCTAATGGCTCCGTCGCCTATGTCATCATCATCATCAATCAGTTTTACTTCAAGTTCAGGTTCATCAACACAAATGACTTTAAATTAAATGGGATTTATTAATTGCGCCAAACTCGATGAGAATGACATCATCAGAGTAAAAGATTTATCAGTTGAATGAGCCTGTGGTGCGATAAGACCATTTAGTTTATTAGATGACTCTGGTTTTCGAAATCTAGCTGAAGAATGTGTTCGGTTAGGTAAGAAAGCATAATAATACATAGTATGTAATATTATTTTCTTAATCAGGTTCTGTTTATGGTACATTTGATGTCAATGGAGTATTGCGTGGTGAAAAAACCATATCACGACATGTGATTTCGGTTGCTGATGCTGCACGTGCACAAGTAAAAGAACTATTATCAAGTTCCCTGAAAGACCATTCATTAACAATATGTCCAGATTACTGGATCGACTCGCACAAGAAGATTTCTTATTTAGGTGTTAGTGTAACTATTGTTGATGATCAATATGTTTATAAATCAATAGATCTTTGCTGCAAGTCATTCGAGTACAGAAAAAAAACGGCCGAAAATACTTTAAAAGTAGGCGAAATCGTTTTATTCTATGCAGTTTACTTATAGACAGAAAATATTTTTTCTACGTTTTTGCAATAATTATGGGAGTTTAGTATATTCAGAAGAACCATATTTCTCAGATAAAACAAACTTAAAAAGATCTTTTTTTGTCTTTATTCAAATATATCTAAAAAATATAAAAATTATGTAGATATTTATTTTGAAATCGGAATCTTTTCATATAGACTCATCGAGATATATTAATGATTAAATATTCTTATAAATATTTGCTCATTACAAATGCTTTTGCAGTCTACCGAAGATTTATTTGATTTTTTATAACTTCATAATTCAAATCTATTCTTATTTGATTTAGGTACTTCATAACTGTTTAAGTTTTTATGGAGTGAACTCATTGGCCGATGTTAATATAGTATGTGATCGTGGAAGTAATTTTGTTTGCGCTTTTAAAGAGTTCAAGCCGATTTTCTGTTGTGGACATCGACTGAATAATATTGTTAAATTAGCCGTTTTCCAAAATAATAATAATAATAAAAGAAAAGCTGGTGGTGTGTCTGTTAATCTGGCAAATATACCCGATAAGAATTCATCAACAATAACTTCTGAAGATAATAAAGGTGATAATCATAAGTCTTCAAGTGAAGACAGTGCATCATCATCTGATGATGAAGATTTTGGCAATGAATTAGCATTAACTGTTGTAAAAAGAAAAAGAACTTTTGATAAAACGGCTATTTTACCAAAAAATGAGATGCTGGTTTGTCATATGGACATAACCATTGATCGAATTCCACCAGCAGCTAAGCATATTCTCGATGTTTTAAATAAATGCAAAAATATTGTCAAATACGTGAAAAAGGTTGGTATTCCTCTGAGAAAATTCGCTATTAATTTTTGTAATATCTTCATTTAATCTTTGTTTTGAAATTTAGGCAGGTATTAACAATGATATCCAAGAAGAAGGTGGTGTTACATTGCATCAATCGTGTATCGTCAGGTGGTTATCTATGTCAAATCTGCTAGAGAGCATTTTAAAATCCTTCAAAATAACAAAAAGATTGTTAATTGCTAGAAATAAACAATCATTGACAATTGATTTAGATAAAATAACAATTAAACAGCTCGTACTCGTTTTGAAACCATTAAAACATGTTATGACAGTATTCCAAACAGGAAACCTTCCATCTTTACATTTGGTTTTATTGTGCAAGTTACGATTGAAAATATCTTTGTCATCTTATAAATCATTATTTGAATACGTAAATACTTATTGCAACCCAGATAAAATCGATGAAAATGAAGATGAAATCGAAGAAAGTGACGATTATGAATCAGAAGGTTAGTCGAAGAAAGTTTGAATGAACTATGCTGCTGAAATTCGAGCATGCGTCTTGTAATTTTAATGACATAGAGCTTCGGATTCCGTGAAGTATCCTTTTGTCCTTATCAGGTGAATTCCTTGTCAGTAAAATTCTACTCACTTTGTTATGATTGATATTATGCACTCTTGAATAATGAAATTTTCTTTTGGCTTCTTCTTAAATCGAATAATTATTTTATAACTGAATCTTTTAGGCATCAAACGGTTTCGAGAGCGTTTGTTCAATTTGATTGATGAATTATTGGTTCTTGACGATCGTCATTATTGTGCAACTATGCTGCACCCTAAATATCGTTTTGTAAAAAGCTGTACAGCACAAGAACGTTCTCAATGTCATCAATACGTTCGTAAAGAATTAATGGTTTTACATGATGAGTATTTAGCAACGAATACATATGAAAATCCACCTGAACTAAATCAAAAAAATTAAAAACTGCTAACTCATTATTTGCTTGTTTTGAAGGTGATTTTTCAAACGAAATTTCACCAGATAAAATTGAAACATCTGCTAATGAAAGTGATGAATATTAATTTGATATCAATCAATCTAGTGAATTAGATCAATATTTAACAATGCCAATCGATCTATCATCAACAACAAAAAATCCATTAGACTTTTGGAAGCGTCATTCGAAAAAGTTTCCTTTATTATGTAAATTAGCGAAACGTATTTATTCAATACCTGCAACGTTATGCAATGTAGAACGTGAATTTTCGAGTGCTGGGCTGATTATAAATCAACGAAGGACAAATATCAATCCTGAACAAATCGAAAACATTCTATTTATAAGATCAGTACAAAAACTGCAGTAATCAGTTGAAAGTGATTTATTTATACTATATTGTGTTGTAATCTATAGGTTTCTTTTTATAAGTGTATCATTTTTATAAGTATTTTTTGTTTGAGATAATCTTCATTAGTTTTTGTAAATGATATTTGAGTATGTTTTTACGGTATATCTAGACTGATATAACGATTTTCCAATGAAAATAAATGAAATGTGGATATTTGGCTAGAAAATAGAGGCCTAAAATTTTAATTGGTTATCAGCTCTCTTGCATTTTAGTATCAATTGATAAGCGCCCTGCCCTGAAGCAGGGCAGGACAGGCAGGACAAAAAATATTTATGACTCATTTGCAGGGCAGGGCGCAGGACAGGGCAAAAAAGTGCCCTGTAACGGTCTCTGATTCAAACCAAACGAAAACAAATGTAAGTATAATTATTTTCAATTCTGTTGTTTTATTTTTTTTGTAACTTTGTTTTTTTTTGATTTTTCAAATAAACATTATTTAAATAATTCAAATTTTTTTCTTTTCACTTTAACTTATAAATAGTTTCATTTGAATCAGAAATATTTTTATTTTAAACAATAAATAATTTCAAAATAGCTCAAATTTTATTTTCATTTCACTAATAAATGAATCAATTTTACTACTAAACATTTTTCAATTAACTAAAAAATTATTTTATTTTACTAATAAATATTTTTATGAAAACAATACAAAATTTTATTTTTTCATTTAAATCAGAAATATTTTCAAAACGGTACAATTTATTTTTTTCACTTTAATAATTAATATTTTTTGCGAAAAATTATTTTTATTTAATTCATTTCTTTTCATTTAACAAATAAATAAATAAGAGAAGAAGAAAAGAAACATTTGACGTAATTTTATAGTTTAGCTTTTTCTTTTCTTTGAAGCGAAAGAATAAAAGAAAATTTCTTGTTTTTTGTTGATTTTTTTCAAAGTATAGAAAAAGAAACGAACAAAGAAAAAACAATTCACAAGTCTTATTCGATAGAAAATCGTTGAACACGATTATTACCATAATCGGCGACATACAGATTACCATGTCGATCGAAAGACAACCCAATGGGGTTGTAGAACTGGTTTGCTCCTGCTCCTTTGCCATTTCCACCCACAACTACAGTGCCTTGTTTCGCTCCTTGAATCCAACGCATCACACGATCATTCTCCCAGTCTACTACATAGAGTGTACCCAACGTATCAACGAAAATTCCTTGAGGGTGAGACAATTGTGTCAGAGCACTCCATAGGCCTTGTCCACCAGCGACCACAATACCTTCTTTCGCACCTTCAACCCATTTCATCGCACGCTGATTGTTGTTGTCTGATACATACACTGAATGATCTCGATCGACAAAGAGATATATCGGCTCTTTGAATTTCTTGAGCCCATAACCTATCCCATTTCCACCCGCTACGAGAGTGCCATTTCTATATCCCAATTGATATCGTCTTACTTCACCTTTTCTGTCGTCAGAAACGTAGAGATTTCTCTGCTCATCCATAGCGACTCCATAACTATCGATGTTGTCAATGAGTATTTCACCTTGTGCTGTACTACTTTGACGAGGCCATCGTACAACTCGTCGATTCCACCGATCACAGATAATGAGACTATCCGTCTCTTTGTCAATTAATGCATCAGTTGGACCATTCAATTGATGCAATCCATTTCCTGCGCCTTTGCCACCAGCAACAACTTGTCCATTCGTTGTATCACCGTTCTTCCATTGCATGATACGATGATTTCCTCGGTCAGCAATAACCACTGTTTGATCATCGTCAACGAAGAGGCCAAAAGGGTGGTGGAGTTGATTAGTGGCACTTCCACCCCCGTTACCTCCAGCAATAGTCACTCCGTTCTGTGCCCACGTGGCATTAGCAGGAATATTAACTAGAAGAGAAAACGTATAAGAATAAAAGGAGATCTTTCTCTAGAGTATATATGAAATAATTTCGAAAGTATCGAGGTAAAATTCTTTGAATAGATCATTCTTTCTATTTCTAGAAATTCCTCAGCATAAGTTTTTTCTCTACCGGAAGATATAGAAATCTAATGCTCTTTTTTTGTTGTTGGCAATTATATCATATACACTGTAAACTAGAAAATACATTATAGTGTATGATGAAAGATATTCTAGTGACGAATTTCTATATACATTCTTGAAAATACGATATTCAATAAGATAGAAATCTGAAATTTTCAAATGTATAGAGTAAGATTTTATCCTCAAGAGAAACAATTAACTAACGAGTGGGCCAGAATAAATTATACCATTCGTATTTTGAATATCGCTCTTCTGTTATCCATTGGATAGGTGCATCTTTTTATACTAAAAGAAGGCGCTTGAAATTCTCTACAAAATTGTGAATGGTTAAAACTAAAAGGTATTTCGCTTTCATTTGAAAAAATATGAAAAGTAAAGATATACAAAAAGTTGTAAAAATAAAATATGAAAATGGTGATGGTCCGAGCAAAATCTATCGTGATTTAGCCGGAGCTGTTTCGTTACCCACGATTAAATTATGGATAAAAATGATCAACCCTACTGGTTCTATCACGCTGTCGTCTCCTCCAGGCTGTCCACGCACGGTTCGTACAAAAGCCGCTATTATGAAGGTTAAAAGCCGTCTAAATAAAAAGAAACGAGTGTCTACACGAAAATTAGCTAATGATATTAATATTTCTAGAACAAGTATACGGCGTATACTTCGTGAAGATCTTGGCTGTAAGCCGTACAAAAACACAAAACAACCTAAGCTAACCAAATCTTCAAAAAAAATAAGAGGGTTAACTTTGCTAATTGGGTGTTAAATAACTATAGCAAAGACGACACTAAAAAATGGCTTTTCATGGATGAAAAGTTTTTTTTATCTTGACGGCATATACAATTCATAAAACGACCGGGTATGGGCTGCCAGTAGAGAAGAAGCTGATAGAAAAGGTGGTTTCCGTGAGAAGACCAAATATCCAAAGAAAGTTATGGTGTGGTTGGGGGCATGTGCTGATAGTTTAACAACACTAGTCATATTGGAAAATGGAACGATGGATGCCGAGGTTTACATCAATGAAGTTCTTCCAATAGCTCTGGAATGTGGTGACAAGATGTTAGGGGACGATTGCACTTATCAACAAGATGGTGCTAGACCTCATACACATAATCTTACTCAAGAATGGTGTGCCATGCATTTCCCTGATTTTATCCCCGAGACGCGTTGGCCACCCAATTCACCTGATTTATGCCCTTTGGATTACAGTTTATGAAACGAGTTGACTCAGTGTATGAATTGGGATCGAATAAAAACAAAAGCAACGTTGATTGAAGAGATAAAAAGTTCAGTAACAAAAGTTGACAAAGAAAACATTTTAAATTCTATACTTGATTTTACTATAAGATTACGTGAAATAAAAAGAAATGGAGGTAGCTATATTCATTAAATGAAACATATTATTTTGTGCAGAATTTAAAGTGCTTCTTTTTGATAAAAAAAAAGTATTTTGTTTGATTGGAAAACAGAAGAGAAATATTAGAAATACTAATGGTATAATTTATTCTGGCCCACTCGTTAGTTATATTGTATTCAGCAATGTGATCTATATGATTCTATAACCTGATGATAGATAAAAATGAATGATATAAACTAAAATTTTAGGATTTCATTAAAAAGAGAAAATTTTTCTAAGAAAAAAAAGTCTAAACGTGTAAATATTTCGATCGGGAAAAAATGACTTGAAATACGATATATGCTCATAATGTTAAATGCAATAATATAATATCAGAGTTCATGTATAATTCCACAAAAATAAATGATTATAAATATCTATTTTGTGGTGAGAAAAGTTTTTATTTGCAATACTCTTTTCGTGAATAAGAAATAAATGGATATATTATGTGTTTGTTCATGTAAAATGGGCTGACTCATGTGGATTCGAAAAAAAATATAGTTGATCTGCTCGCTAGAGCTGGCAGAGAAAATAATGAATGCACTATACACACTGCCGACTATAACTTATATACACAAATGAACAATGGCTTTATAAAGGTCATAATCTAAATGATTTTCTAGGCAGAGCTAGGCACGTACGTGATTTCTCGAGTACGAGTCGAGTACGAGTACCGATTTTTTGAATACGGATACTGTTGAATCAGGTATGACTACGAATTTCTAAAATAATTCATGGGGAAAAATCCTATAGTTCTTTAATAATTATGTGGCATATATATATATGTATACAGATGCCAGAACAAAATACTGACAAAGCAAAGTGGTAAAAGACTTTTTTAATTTATTGTATTATCAACCTTCAAGTATATGAAATCAAAGCAAAACTTTGTTACATTTTAGAAAAGATAGTACACATACATTATTTGCCGTTAATGATGTTCGATGTGGTCTCATCAGAAAACCACTTTGCGAGAATATACGTTCAATAGGAACCGATGTCGCAGGTACCGTTAGATACTTTAGAGCAAGTTGATATAATCTTGGATAGATATGTTTCTTTGAAAAAAGTAAATCTTCTTCACGACTTTCTTCATATAAATGGAGAAAGAAAGAAGGAAGAAAGATTTGCATATTACGAAAACACCAATCGTAGACATATAGAATTACTAATCGAAAATAAATGAAGGACATTAAAAACAGAGGATAACGAGAACAGAATATGGCGACCATCATATACAATTATATCACATAAATGACCATTTATATATTTACATCGATCGAAGAGAAGACATAATTGCTTCGTCTCATTCTTCAAGTACACAACAACATAACAACTTTTTTATATGAAACACATTTCATCTAGAATTTCAAATATTAGATCATCGAGTACACACATGAGTACTGACCATCTCGAGTACGCGTACGAGTACGTACTAGTGACCTGCGTGACCACGATTTTTAGTCACAGCCACGTCACGGTCACGATTATAGCCATGATAAATACATGGGTTCTGATTCTGAAATAGTGCCAGTACTTGGTATTGAAAAGAGGCTTGTTGAGTAACGATATCTACCTACGGCTACCGCAATTGTGGACTTTTTCCAGAATGATATTGATTTGGGAAAAATGAAAATCCAATGAATTTTATTATAGTGATCTGCAATACAAATCAATAGGTTAAACTACTATTAATAATAATATTCTGCCGATCGAGTGGACAATCGATTGTTTTTGTACTTTCATAAACCATGGTTTCGAAATTATTAACACGTACTCCACTCGAACAGCTTTTCAAGAAAAACGATACCTCGATCGCATTAAAAAAGGTCAAACAAACCGATCATGGTTCATCATTTTGGTCACGATTTAGCCTCGTGTTTGTGAACGATGTAGGTCAAAATTTCGTAATATGCGACAAATGTCGAACAATTGTTACCTATAAAAGTTCAACTGGTACTGGTGGTTTAAAGAAACATTTAGCATCATGTGACAAAATTACATTATCAAATACTACACAATCAACTATAACAACATATTATACTACTAGCAAATAGTGACCTGCGTGACCACTTTGCAGGTCTCTAGTACGTACTCGTACTTGCGCAGCTCTGTTTCTAGAACGTGGCGCTGATTTTTTTTTGTAGAATTTATCTTGATTTTTCTATAAAATTGCAATTGAATTTCTCTAATTTAGAAAATCAATTGCAATTTTTGAATATTTAAAATTCGACGAATGAATAATAAAAATTCGAAAATGCTACAGCTTATTTAAAGTCGATTTTCTAAAAAGTAGAATTTCAAAAAATTTCCATTGTATGTTTAAAATGAGATTTTTTTGCATCAAAATAGTTCTATATAGACATTTATCTTTTGCTTTGTTTTTGAGATGTTATATACATGCGAGTCTATATTTTCTATGAACAGGCAAGCGTATAATAATTATATAACGATTTATTTCTTATATGAGCTTATTATACGCGTTGTATTATTTTCCTATGATCAAAATATTTTTTTGCTAGAATCTTTTTCGTTCTCTTAAATAGAGCATTTCTTACTTCTAGAATATGTTTGTGTGCCAAGAAGTACGTCCCTTGTAAAGGACGAGATTAGATAGGGGTTATATGAACCACTAGACGTCCTCTCATAAGTCATCGAACTAATGAACGTATTGTCGTGACGTAATTGGGCTTATAGTGCTAATGGATATCCTTGTATATGACGACACATAATCACCCACTGAACAATACGTAATCGTTCCCTGTATCCTTTTCTTTCTCTATATCATTTTCTCCCTATACGTATATCTTTTTGTCTCTATGTATCTTTTATCTCTCTCTAGTATATAAACTCGCGTTATATGTGAAATAGACAGCAGTATAAGAGCGACAGTGTTGGATAGTATTAGAGTAGTAGAAAGGCCGTTGAGTCGAGTTCACTTCTACACAAGTCAAGTTCCAAGAAGATCGTGTGGAATTATTGTTAATACTATACACACAGTGGCTAAAATACATAGCTGATACTGATCTACATTTTGTTGTCCATCATCCTATCAGGATATATACGCAATTCTATATACAGTAAAGTACAAAGTCTTTGCCCTGTATATTGTCCAACATTTTTAAAGCATATCTCTCGAAATTTCTAGACAGACTTTTCGAGAACATTCTTCATCATTTTGG